TTTCCATGGCCTCCTCCTTAGTCATCTCGAGTAGGATGGAGACTGGCTTCGCCTTCTTTCCTACTGGCTTATACCTCCGAACGCTTCCTTCCGGGATTTTTCTTCTAAAAAATGAACGGCGGAGTTGCTTGCGGGGCTTCCACAATGCGGGGCTGAATACTGACCAGCTCCCCATTTAGGCAATAGCCTTTTTGGATCCTCTCCTCAAAGCGGGCGAGGGCGGCCGGGTCAACGGCCACTTTGTGGTACCTGATTGCTTTGACAACCTGCAGTAATTCCGGGATTTCTAGTGTGACCTTATCCTTCTTGTCCCGGATCTCCCCGTGCTTGGGCAAACTGGCTCCCAATTCCACCTCTGTTTCCTTCTCTACTACCATGACTCCCAGGGCGTCTTCATCTGACCTACGTTTCTTCATCGGGAGTCCCATCTTGACCTATTCTTTCTTACTAAAGACCTCTTCGATCATAATTTCCACCCTCTCTCTCATCCCTTCCATGCGTGCGAAAGCCCCCTTTCTAGCGCTCTCCTCAAAGGAGGGTGACCAGGTTGCGGGCTTCCCTTTTGGCGTGTCTCCCCTGGTTCCCATAAGGCGAAGCAGCTCACCTCGTCCTGTCACCGGGTCCTCTATGTCTACCATGTAGGCGCCGTCGTGCAGATGCATCCCGATCATCTCTACGTTCGCACACCACGGGCGCCCGAGGATCACGTCATGGTCCATTTCGTCCATGACGGTCATTCGTTGGAACGACCATATAGACTCTCTAACCCCGGCTTTAACTGCGCACTTGGTAACATAGCCGGAAAAGGGGATTTCCCCACCTGCTCCCCGGACACTCCCCGTGACCTCCCAGTTGATTGGGCACCCAACAATTGTTGCAAAGTCCTTGCGAATGAGTGTGATTTCTGCCCCACCATCTACAAGTGCATCCGTATGGTGGGTGTCAATCTGGGCTTTCAGTTTCCCTACCGGGAGCGCATGGAAATTCAGTTTCGTGCCAGGCGGTGCCCTCATGACTTCTCCGCCTTCCCGGTCTGGCAGACTTAGCCGGATGTCTGCGAAGGCCTTCTCTAGATCTTCCAGATCCCCGGGGGCCCTCTGAAGGTTTGCCACTTCCCGCGGTAGCTCCTCTTCCTTGCCTTTTTCGCGTATATCTGGTTCCTCCGCTACTTCCACCCTTTGCCTTGTTAGCAGCTGTCTTAGGCCCTTTAGTAGTCTAGGACTAGCCTGCAACATGGTCTGGAAGGAAACCGATACCATGGTCCCTAGCAACCTGGTGCCCTCGCCCGGGTGCCTATCCCCAGGTAAGTTCCTCTACTGGTTCGGCCTTAACCGCGGCTGCGTCCAGGTTGTTAAGTGCGATTACTGCTCTGCGCATCCCTCCCGGCGAGTTCCAGTTTACCCTCTCTCCTGGTGGCCCCAGGATTTCCCTGCGCAAAGTTCTAAAGCACCGTTTAAGGATGATATCGTGGTTAAGCCTGGGACACATGCGGACAAAATGCCCGACTATCGTGCAGTACTTGCACTGCTCATTGGCCGGGTCCTTTCGATTATTATCGCGGTTGGCTATCCCTGGCGGTATGATTGCCTCTTGTGGCGGGAGGGGGGGTCGTACTGCTTGCGTTTGCAAGACCTGGGCTTGCATCACCAGTAAGGCATTCTCTACTCTCTCTATCTTGCCGTCAACGACACCACCTTCCTAAGCCCTCCCTCAATCATCCCAGGTCCTGTTGCGGAACTCGGACCGGCGCCTTCCTTGCTAAAATCGAGTTGCCCTTTTGGCTTTGCGATCCCTTCCGGGTCAAACCATCCTAGCACCCTTTCCCTCAGGCTCCAGAGTCCCTCGCATCCTTTTGCAGTTACAGGCGACGCCGAGGGTCGGCTTGCTCCGCTGTCCAGTAGGGGTGGATTGACTGGCCTATCCCTATCCTCCTTAAGGAATTATATTCCTTTTTTCCCTTTCCTTGTAGGGGTATCCCTCGTGTCTCTTGGCCGATCCTTCCTGTGTTGTGCATCCCCATCCTGGCTTCCTTGCCCGACGTCCAGTTCCCCTTCTTCCCACGTCCCGTCATCAGCGACATTTTTCTCAGCATCGTTCATGATTTCTTCCAATAGTTTTGCCCTATATTCTGTCGTGCGTCTCTCTACTTCGGCTAGCTTTCTCAGTGCATCCGTTAGCCTGACCTTTTTCGGCTCCGCCCCCTCGGGTTGCTGACGTGCCGGACTCTCCCTGTCTCTGACTTCCTTGGTTCCCGGAGTCCCCCGTTTACTTCCCCCGCTCTTTCCTGAATCTTCCCCGGGCACAACGTCCTTGCTCCTCTCCCCGTTTCCTAGTGACTTTGTCGACCCCCGATCCCCTAGGTCCCGCTATTCTTGATCTACGTCGTCCTCTACGTCCTGAGTTTTGTCCCTCAATTGACTTCCAGCCTCGTCTCCCGTGGCCATGTTTTCCTTCCTCTAACCCTGTGATATGGAAGAAGGAATTTTTTTTTTTGGCAATCGCACATAATTCTCTTAGCCTTTAGAATTGCCTATTTTTCACCCCTTTTTGCTCTTCCCTTTGCTTACCCTAGGTATCTTAGCTGCACCTTTGGTTGCAACGATGTCTCTCCCCCCTCCTTTTCTTGGCATGTGTTCAACCCATGGTAGACCTGGTCGGCCATCCAATCGGTTCTTTTATACCTATTTTTCTTTCCCTTTGGTTCTTATTTCTACCATCTTTCCCGGCATCTTTCCTATGCTGGCTCTTCCGGTCTCTCCCTCTCATCCGGTTCCTCAAATAGTCTTGCCACCCCTGCGAGATAGTTCTCCCCCATCTCGATCTCCCTTATGATTATTGGCTCGTATTCCTCAAACGACAAACGGATCATTCCGAATATCAGGATCTCAAGAAGTTCCAGCAATTCTCGCGCTCGATTTCCCAAGAACGGCCCGTGCCTTACTGCCACGTCATAGAACATCCCCGTGGCCTGTGGTGAGAAGTAGCGTTCCCAGATTACGGTTGAATTCACCAGGTCCCTTGCCCGCGCAAGACTCCCAAAAACCAAATCAACCATGAACCGGGGCACCCGTCAGCGCAGTCCAGGCATAGGGGCCCTAAAGTCTCATCATCCCCCTACTTTTACTCGCGTCCTTAATCCCACATTCCGTCTTCCCCTAACCTCATGGCCTATCCGGTTCAGGACCCTGACTGCCCTCCGAAACAATGGTAACAACCCATGCCTCGTCCAGTTCCCAACATTTGCCACCCGATTTCTAGGAAATATAGAGTCCCTGTCACCCTGAGGTCATTATATAAGTCGTCTCCTGGCCCCCTATCGAATCTCATGCCACCCCATAGGCATTCAACTAGCATGAAAGCCTGATTCCGTCCTAGGGTCATAGCCCGCCATTCCGTATCTATCCCCCGGACAATGTAGCTTGCCGGGAGTGACACTTCCCATCCGCCTCCGGCTTCCATGGGCGGTTGCGGGTGCATGTCCCGCCGGTTCGTACGGACGCGTCTTGCCGCCATTGTTGGCGAATATCGCCCTGCATACACCACGCAAAAAAAAAAGGGGAAAAGGAAAAAGGAACCTCTCTTTTTAGTTTTCTTCAAGCCCCCTTATAGCCCGATCCCGTTGATCTACCTTCCCCCTCGCTTTTCTTTTTTGCCCTCCTATTCTTCTACCCCCTCAAACAGCTGGCGGACGTCGTCCACATACGTCAGCCCGCATCCTATCTCGCGCCTAGCTATCTCCCACATGACTTCCTCGGTTACCGTCGGTATACCAGGTCTAGTGCCCACTACGGCCCGTAGAATGTTTAGCACCTCGTACTCCTGCTCCTCATCGAACGGCCCTAGTTCCAGAAAGGCCCGGTAGTATTCTCGATAGACGGTCATGTTACTAAAACTCAACCTACCCAGGGCTAT